TGCATCCCCGGGGAGCGGAGGAGCCAGTGTGGCCGTACTGCAGGATGCCCACGTAGTCCTCCAGGCTCTGCAGGGACGCCGTCCGCCAGTTCCTCTTGTAGCCCAGCACCAGGATGTTGGGTCTCATCTTGCCAAGGCCAGCAGCCTGTGGACAGATGTCCCCATGAGACCCCTCTGCAGGGACAGACGGACAATGGTGGTGCCAGCCTGCAGGAGAGCGATGCCAAGGCGGGTGCCTGGAGGTCAGGGAATGGGGTCAGAGCTGCCCGAGCTGTGATGGAAGAGGGACCTCGATGGTCAACAGCCAAGGATGGCTCTACCTGGATGAGCATTTGGACACCGCTTCTCAGATCCTCAGCCACCACATCTGTGTAGAAAGCCTTGATCTTCCTCTTCATCAGCCACTTGGTGTGGCCGTCTGCCATCAGCTGGGACTCCGGCATCTTCTGCTTGCGTGGTCCCTGGGGGGAGCCAGGGCAGGGGGCTCAGGCACAGGCGGCCCCTTCCAGCTGGTGGTTTTGCCACCAAGGACCTCCAGCTCCTCTCTTCCCAGATCATTGGCAAGACCCGGCTGTAACCACCGCACCCACGGGGAGTTGCAATCACAGCAAGAAAACCAGCAGCTGCTGGGAGTCACCAGCCAACGCCCAGGGTGGCAGCAAGGCCCACGGTGGCAGATGAGCTGGTGTTTGCTGCCACACGTGTCCCAAATTGCTCTTGAGGCTTCAGGGCTGCAGGACCACCCCATCCTCTGAGCAACCACCTCATCCTACTGCAGCTTTGCTTTGGCAATTAATTGGCAAGGGGATGGGGTCAGGCCACCTGCGCTTCATCAATATTGCTTAACAAGCTGGAGAGGCTTCCAGATGACACGTTTCATCAGCCGGTGGCACGTAAATGGGCACATTTCAGTCCCCGCTCCATGAGTCCACCAGGACACATCTGGATTTCTCAGCCCACCACCCCTGGGTGGCCAGGGGCCCCCAGGAGAAGGAACCCGCCAGCTTTTGCAGGTGACTCACGATCAGCACGTTGCCGCAGAGCATCAGGCTGAGGTTCTTGGTGAACGTCCCCACGAAGTCCACGAGGGCCGGGCGGAAATTCGGAGGGCCGGTCAGCACCAGGCACTGCGGTCTGCGGGCAGGGAGAGAGCAGGGGGTGAGGGATGGTACTTTGGAGGCGCCGAGCCTCTCCGGATTGAGCCACGTCTCTTCTCCCATGCCTGGCCAGTGGCAATGGTTGGGAGCATCTTTAGGATGAGATGAAATCCTGTGGCTGAGGGTCCAGCCTCACCCTTTGGTCTTTTTATATCATGAGACAAATGCGTCTGCCTGGTACGGGGAAGGCAAGGTTTGCCCTGCTCCCCACCTCTGCCCACACGGCAAAGACATGAGATTTTTTGGAGACAGACACATTTTTCTGAGGCTCCTGGTTGCTGAGGGTGGTGGTGAGGACGTAGCCATGGGCATGAAGCCATCCTGAGTTTGCTGGTGGTGGTGGCTGGCTCTGCATCCCCCCTCCCTCCATGCCTGGCACCACGCCGAGCTGCCCTTGCCTGTAGTTCTTGATGTGCTCGTCCACTTCACTCAGCCCCACGGAGTAGTTGAGGGCCATGTTGTATGAGCTGGCTTGCATGGAGGAGCCCCAGTTGACATCTACATGGAGAAGATGGATTAACAACAGGGCCAGACGATTCTTGGGGCATCACTGGTGCTGGGTCACCACCACACACCCGGCTTTTTGTAGAGGACATATCCCAGGAGGAAGATGACGATGCCAAATGCAATGAGGGCC